CCCCAAAACCCCAAAACCCCAAAACCCCGTGCCATTGTGGATATATTGATAAACCACAGAAGAATTTTAGTAAATATAAATAATTAAAGATCATGGATAACCCATCCACTTCTAAGTATAATTCGCTTCAGGAGGATTCTCAAGAACAGTCCTTGCCTTCTCTGAATTCTTTGAACAAAGGATTGAATAAGGAACAACAAGAGCTGCATGCTCAAAGCAGTGATGCTGGCACATTTCTTGGTTCAGCTATAACCCCTTCTGGAGAATTCAAGCCAGAAGACCCAAAGGAGACGATCAAGAGAATGTATGAGTTTGCACTAAAAAATGCTGACGATCCAAACTGAGCAGGACTATTTGCAAATTTAGTAAGTTCTATTCAATTATCATTAAATAAAGAAACTTTGCTAATTTTTAGGTAAAATCAATTCCTCAAAATATGTCCTCAAAGAGTCAAATAAACACTGCTAACTACTCAAGTGAAGGACAGTGTAAAATAGCCATCCAGAAGGATAATCGACCATCTAGCCCTAAATGAGACTCCTCTTTCAATACTGCCAGAGAGTCAGCCCAGTTGTTGGAAAGTAAGCAAGAGATGCTTCTTGATGAGAGCCAGCAAATAAGGCACAATTTGAAGACTAAAAATTCCTTCCATAACTTACCTGACTTTTTGAAAGATAAGACTAAATCTCAACTTGCACAAAGAAGAAGCATTGACCTACATTGAAATGGTCAGAATTTTAGCCAAACTTATTCTCAAAGAGGTCTGGTTAAAGAAATTTCTGTAGAAAACTCACTTCAAACAAAGCCTTTTCTGGAAATTCAAAAGCTAGCTTGCTCAGTCCCCCCTCAGGTACAAGGAATACCCTCAATTCCAATGCACCCCACACCTACAGCACTCTCTTACGCCAACCCATCTCCTTCTAAATCCCCAATAAACCCCACTGGAGTAAAAGAGTACTCTTCTTTACTCTCAATTTTCCCTCAGAGGCCTCCAAAGGCCCCTCTCCCGGCTACTGCCCAAGAAGAAGAGACCAAGCACAAGCGTGCATGTACATTTCCTGACTCTTTCGGATCTTCAGAAAATGAAAATAAAAACACAGATTTTGGATTTACCGCTAAATCTGAAAATCAAGATTTTTGTGATGATTTTTGAGGGAGAATAGGAAGCGAGAAAGAGAGATTTAGAGAAGGTGATGGCGCTGAAAGGGAAGGAATGGAGTGCAGAGGCTTGGAAGAGACTAATAGACTCATTAGAGAGGTACTTAGGTTGGTAGAAGGTACCCAGAAGAGGTGTGAGAGGAGTGATGTAGGTGTTCAAGTTGACTTGTGTCGAGTAAAATGAGGTGTTCCTAGTGAAGATCCTGAGATATTAAGTAAAGATAAGCCATCTAAACTCAAAGTTGGGAAGAATAATACAAAATTTTTAGTAACTCCTCCTATTAAAAATAATGGAAAAGCTTGATCACTCATGAAATAATGGAGTCGGCTTGGAAAGGAATCTATAAATCAAGAAATGATTAATTCTTTACTATTGCTCTTTTTTATTAAAATTCTAAATGGTGTAACCTCACTCCAATGTTTATTCGTAATCAGTGATACTTCCAGAGCTTCGGCCGAGCCCATCTTGGATGGGATGCTGACAAAGAGAAATCCAAATTTAGCATCTCCAATTGATAGATTGTTTGAGGATATTTTGATCCTGAATCATTTATCTGAAAATCTGTTGATTTAGTGACTTATTTGAAGATGAGCTTGACAACAAGTCAATGGATGACTCTTGTCAGTATATAATGACTTTATTTGAGAAGCTTGAGACGAACACAACAATGAAGATTGCATGTTCTCGGGCACAGGTTATACAGATGCAGATGGTGTCATTAAGACTTATGAAAAGCCTCATCCTTCAATAGTTTATAAGTTATTTATTGGCATCTTTGAGCTAGCTAAGACATGCTAGACATAAGTCAAGTCGATTAACATTTATGAAGACTTCAAGAACATCCTTGTCAAGTTATCATTTTAATCCAAGATCTTGGGAGTCTTTGCTTTTATCAATTGCTTGATTTCTCAATCACTTTGATAGAATAGTGTATAAAGGCATAATTTCATCTCAGATGCACTGAGAAACTCTGTGTAGCTCATGCAATATTTACCAAAATTATGTAAATATTCAAACACACAAATATGCAAAGAAATTTCTGAATCCTTGAAGATATTTCTTTATCTCCCAGAATCCACCTCAATAAAATTTTAGCTAGAACTTTGAAGAATATTGCATCCAGAAGGCAAATGTTAAATTTCTGAAATATCTTACTCTAATGCTGCAGAAATTTGACTCTTTCGATAAAACCAAGATCACTAAGAAGACGGGTTTTAACAGTGGCTTAAATACCAAGAACTCTTACATAACTTGTGATGCGATCTCTACGATCATAAGTGACATCACCATATTGACAACAGTCCTGAGGTAGACCACTCTCCATGCTCCACTTAGCCAGAGGACAAATGCAACCACTAAGACGATACTTTCCACACCATTTTGATAAATATTAAGAGCGTAGTACTGATTAATACATCTTGATTTAGAAAGCAACAAATGCTGAAAGTAATGCTTACTCTAAATTCAACACAAATTCTGAATATTGGGGTTTTGGGGTTTTGGGGTTTTGGGG